GAAAAAGCTACTCAAGGATTGCCTTTTCAAAATTGCCTTCTTTCAGGGGAGATTTAACCCAATATTAGGGTTAGGGCTGTGAACCACTGTAGGGTTTGGGTTGAAGAAACGAGGTGTCCTGGCATAATTTCGATGGTTGGAATGTGTTTAACCTGGGCAGAAATGATGAGCTGTGAAGAAAAAGCTGCTCAAGGACAACTTTTTCAAAACTGCCATCTTTCTGTGGAACTTTAGCCTTGTATTAGGGTTGGGCTTGTGAAACAGGGCAAAGTTAGGGTTAGAGAAACGAGGCGTCCTGGCATGATTTCAATAGTTGGAATGCGTTTTGCATGGGTAGAAATGAAGAGCTGTGAAGAAAATCTACTGAACGACGAATTTCCAAAATTGCCCTCTTTCAGTGGAACTTCAGTATTTTATCAGGGTTAGAGATGTGAATCAGGGGAGGGTTAGGGTTAGACAAACGAGGTGTCCTGGCACGATTTCAATATTTGGAATGCGTTCTGCATGGGTTGAAATGAAGAGCTGTGAAGAAAATGCTACTCAAGGACTACTTTTCAAAATTGCCCTCTTTTTGTGGAACTTCAGTATTTTATCAGGGTATGGGGTGTGAACCAGGGTAGGGTTACAGTTAGACAAACAAGGTGTCCTGCCATGATTTCGATGGTTGCAATGCGTTTAGCAGGGGCAGAAATGATGAGCTCTGTGGAAAAAGATGCACAAGGACGGACTTTACAAAAGTGCCCTTTCTGTGGAACGTTAATCCTATATTAGGGTTAGGGGTGTGAACAAGGGTAGGGTTAGGGTTAGGGAAACGAGGTGTCCTGGCATGATTTCAATGGTTGGAATGCGTTTTGCATGGCCAGAAATGATGAGGTGAGAAGAAAAAGCTACTCAAGCACTACTTTTCAAAATTGCCCTCTTTCAGTGGAACTTCAGTATTTTATCAGGGTTAGGGGTGTGAACCAGGGTAGGGTCAGGATTAGACAAACGAGGTGTCCAGGCATGATTTCGATGGTGGGAATGCGTTCAGCATGGGCAGAAATGATGAGCTGTGTAGAAATAGCTGCTGAAGGACTGCTTTTTCAAAACTGCCTTCTTCAGTGCAACCTTAGCCCTATATTAGGGTTGGGGGTGTGAACCAGGGTAGGGTTACGGTTAGAGAAATGAGGTGTCCTGGCATGATTTCGATGGATGGAATGTGTTTAGCAGGGGCAGAAATGATGAGCTGCGCGGAAAAAGATACACAAGGACAGACTTTTCAAAATTGCCCGTTCAGGGGAACGTTAATCCTTTATTCAGGTTAGGGCTGTGAACCAGGGTAGGGTTATGGTTAGGGAAATGAGGTGTCCTGGCATGATTTCAATGGTTGGAATGCGTNGATGCTTGGAATGCATTTAGCATGGGCAGAAATGATGCGCTGTGAAGAAAAAGCTACTCAAGGACAGACTTTTCAAAATTGCCCTCATTCAGGGGAGTTTTAACCCGATAGTAGGGTTAGGGGTGTGAATCAGGGCAGGGTTAGGTTTAGAGAAATGAGGTGTCCTGGCATGATTTCGATGCTTGGAAACGTTTAGCATGGGCAGAAATGATGAGCTGTGTAGAAAAAGCCATCCAAGGACTGTATTTTAACCTTGCCCTGATTTAGTGGAACTTTAACCCGATATTAGGGTTAGAGGTGAGGACCGGAGTAAGGTTAGTGTTAGAGAAACGAGGTGTCCTGGAATGATTTCAATGGTTGGAATGCGTTTAGCATGGGCAGAAATGATAAGCTGTGATGAAAAAGTTACTCAAGGACTGCATTTGACACTTGCCCTCTTTCAGTGGAACTTTACCTTTCTATTAGGGTTGGGGGTGTGATCCAGGGTGGGGTTTGGGTTAGAGAAATGAGGTGTTCTGGGATGAATTCGATGGTTGGAATGTGTTTAGCATGGGCAGCAATGATGAGCTGTGCAGAAAAATCTACTCAAGAACTGCTCTTTCAGAATAGCCCTATTTCAGGGGAAATATAGCCCTATTAACGTAAGTAGGATGAACCAGGATAGGGGTAGGGGTAGAGAAACGAGCTGTCCTGGCATGACTTCGATGGTTGGAATGTGTTTAGCATGGGCAGAAATGATGAGCTGTGCAGTAAAAGCCATTTAAAGATGGCTTTCAAAATCACTGTCTTTTGAGTGGAACGTTAGCTTTATAATAGGGTTAGGGAAGTGACCCAGGGTAGGGTTAGGTAGGGAATGATTTCAAAGGTTGGAATGTGTTTAGCAATGTCAGAAATTATGACTTGTGCAGAGAAAGTGACTCAAAGACTGCTTTTTCAAAATTGCCCTCTTTCAGGGGAACTTTAGCTCTATATTAGGGTTAGAAGAATGAACCAGGGTAGGGTTAGGGGTAGAAAAAAGAGGTGTCCTGGCATGATTTCAATGGTTGGAATGTGCTTAGCATAAGCAGAAATGATGATCTGTGCAGAAAAAACTACTCAAGGACTGTATTTCAAAATTTGCCTCATTCAGGGGAACGTCAGCATTATATTAGGGTTAGGGGTGCGAACCGGGGTCGGCTTAGGGTTAGAGAAACGAGGTGTCCTGGGAAGATTTCGATGGTTGGAATGTGTTTAGCATGGGCAGAAATGATGAGGTGTGAAGAAAAAGCTACTCAAGGACTGCCTTTTCAAAATTGCCCTCTTTCAGTGGAACTTTAGCCCTATATTAGGNAGGTGTATGACCTGCAAGGGACCAGACCCTGGCTTCCCGAGAGGGCGCAGGCCTGCCCCAGACTGCAGTGTAAGAGCGGGGCTGTCGCGAGCGGGACGGTGCAAAAGGAGACGGTGAGGCACTTTGTCAGTACCTTCTTTTGCACAGCTAATCATTTCTGCCCGTGCTAAACGCATTCCAACCATCGAAATCATGCTAGGACTCCTCGTTTCTCTAACCCTAACCCTACCCTGTTTCACACCCCTAACCCTTATATCGGGTTAAAGTACCACTGAAAGAGGGCAATTTTTAAACGCAGTCCTTGAGTACCTTTTTCTGCACAGCTCAACATTTCTGCCCATGCTAAACGCATTCCAACCATCGAAATCATGCTAGGACTCCTCGTTTCTCCAACCCTGGGATGATTTTGCTGGTTGGAATGTGTAGCCCAGGCAGAAATTAAAACTGTGCAGAAAAATGAATTGATGGAAGGCTTTTCAAAATTGCCCTCATCTCTGTGGTACTTTATGCGTGTATTAGGGTTAGGGCGAAGGACCAGAGTAGGTTTACAGTTGGAAAAACGAGGTGACCTGGCGTGATATTGCTCGTTGGAATATGTATAACGGGGACAGAACTGAAGAGCTGTGCAGAAATAGCTACCCAAGTATGGCTTTTTAAAAATCACTCTCTTTTTAGTGGAACTTCATCTGCATATTACGGTCAGGCGTGAGGACCAGGGTAGGGTTAGGGTTGGAGAAAAGAGCTATCCTGGCATCATTTTTATGGTTGGAATGTATTTAGCATGGGCAGAATTGAAAAGCTGTGCAGAAAAAGCTACCCAAGGACAGATTTTTCATAATCACCCTCTTTTCAGTAGAACTTTAGCCCTATATTAGGGTTAGGGGTGGGAACCAGGTTAGTGTTACGTTTGGAGAAAAGAGGTGTTCTGCCATAACTTCATGGTTGGACTGTGTTTAGCATGGGCAGAAATGATGAGCTGTGAAGGAAAAGCTACCCAGGGACATCTTTTTCAAAATTGCGCCCTTAGCGGAACTTTAGCCCGATATTACGGTTAGGGGTGTGCACCAAGGTAGGGTTAGGGTTGAAAAAGGTGTCTTGGCTTGATTTTGATGGTTGCAACATGTTTAGCATGGACAGAAATAATAAGCTCTGCAGAAAATTTACTTATGGACATAAATTTCAAAATTGCCCCCATCTCAGTGGACTTTAGCCCGATATTAGGGTTAGGGGTGTGCACCAAGGTAGGGTTAGGGTTGGAGAAAAGAGGTTTCCTGGGATGATTTCAATGTGTTAAGCATGGGCAGAAAAGATGAACTGCGCAGAAAAAGGTACTCAAGGACTGCCTTTTCAAAATTGCCCTCTTTCAGTGGAACTTCCATAATATATGAGGGTTAGGGTAGGGTTAGGGTTAGAGAAACGAGGCATCCTGCCTTGATTACAATGGGTGGAATGCATTTAGCATCGGCAGAAATGATGCACTGTGAAGAAAAAGCTACTCTAGGACTGCATTTCAATATTGCCCTCTTTCAGTGGAACTTTAACCCTAGATTAGGCTTAGGGGTGTGAACAAGGGTAGGTTTAGGGTTGAAAAAGTTGTACTGACATGATTTCGATGGTTAGAATGAATTTACCATGGACAGAAGTAAAGACCATTGCAGAAAAAGCTATTTAAGGATGGCTTTTCAAAATCGCCTTCTTTTCAGTGGAACTTTAGCCTAATACTAGGTTTAGGGGTTTACAGCAAGGGAGGGTCAGGGTTGGAGAAAGGGTCTCTCCCATGATTTTGATGGTTGGAATATTTTTAACATGGACAGAAATGAAGAGCTGTTCATGAAAAGCTACCCAAGGACGGCTTTCTCAAAACGACCCTCTTTTCAATTGAACTTTAGCCATATATTACGGAGAGGGGTGAGCACCAGGGTAGGGTTAGGGTTGGAGAAAGGGTCTCTCCCATGATTTTGATGGTTGGAATGTGTTTAGCATGGGCAGAAATGAAGAGCTGCACAGAAAAAGTTACCTAAGGATGGATTTTTCAAAATCACCCTCTTTTCAGTGGAACTTTAGCCATATATTATGGTTAGGGGTGAGCACCAGGCTAGGGTTAGGGTTGGAGAAATGAGGTGTCCTGGCATGATTTTCATGGTTGGAATGAGTTTAGCATGGGCAGAAATG